CTCTCAAGTTCTGTTGCAAGGTCAAGGACGTTATCTGGCGGATGAGGAAGACGGCGTAGACGTCGATCCACCAGTCCCAAACATGCTCTATCGGGGAGAGATCCGGTGAATTTGCAGGCCAAGGCAGTAAGTCAACGTTGTGGTGTTGCAAGAAATCTATAGCAACCCTTGCCGTATGAGGGCGGGCATTGTCCTGTTGGAATGTTAACCCAGGGCCATGACGTTGCAGAATAGGAATTGCCACAGGTCGAAGAATCTGATCCCTGTAGCCCACACCAGTTAAGTTGCCCTGAACAATCACCAAAGGAGTTCTTTGGCGTGCTGTTATTCCACCGCAAATCATCACAGAACCACCACCAAAGCGATTCCTCTCCAAGACACAGGCCTGTGCATAACGTTCTCCCACGTGTCTATAGGCACGTTGACGTCCATCACTATGGGAAATGTTAAACCTGGACTCATCTGTAAAAACAACATTTCTCCACCAAAACAAGGGTCTGCGGACATGATTTCGGCACCACATTCGGCGAGCTTGTCGATGACGTTGTGTCAGGATAGGCCGTATGGCGGGACGTCGTGGTCTGATCCCGTGATGACGTAAACGTTGTCGAACTGTGTTTGGGTGGATACGGCGACGTCCTGGGATGGTTCGGGCAGTCATCATTGCAGTCTGAAACCTGTGGCGAGGATGGGTCACCCTTATCTATCTGTCCTGTCTTGGCGTTGTTACACGTGGACGTCCAGAACGTGGCCGATCGATGACGTCATTTGTGTTCTGTTAGCGTCTCACCAGTGCAGAAATGGTGTTCCGGTGGCAGTGAAAAAGGGGCAGCCACTTGTCGTTGAGACATTCCCCCCACGGACCATCCCAATGGCCTCATGACGTTGTGCAGACGTGACCCTTGCTATGCTATGCGTTTCAATAGCCGTTTAAGTTTTGAACGATCGCAAGGGCAGGGGTTGAGCTGTCCAAAGTGACAGTATTGTGTGGCATTCATTTGCTCTGTTTCTCTTTCCCGGAATGAACGTGCAACAACGTATTGCACGTCTCAAGGACGAACCCACTGACGTCACGGAACGTGGCACGTGCATGCATGTTGGATACATGTCACTAATCTCTGAGTTTAAATCCTTATGTGTCTACACAGGTTTGATCAATTTAGATTTTAAATTTTTGTATGCACAGTTTCTTTATGTGCCTAGTATACTTGTCTTGTAGTCTTTATTGGATGAGAAGACTCAAAACATACTATACACAGAAGTAGATGCACAGATATATACTAATATAATCCCCCTAATTATCCCTTACTTCAAACGAAGCACCCCTTCTTCATTGATACTGGGGCTGTTCCATTATTCTACAGGGCAAAAAAAGTCTTTTCCCACGCTGCCTACAATGTTTTTGTTGTTGGGACCTAACCCATCCAAGGTGTTCTATCTCTTACGGATGAGTTCTGTCTATTCCTTAATGAGTTGACCGCCTCGGTGGGTACAACAAGGACTGGTCGGCTCGGAGTCAGTATAATGTGTCTGAGTGGGGTATTCATGCTTCACTGCGGCATGGTATCTCAGTGGGCTAGCACTATAAAACCAGCTTCAGTCTGGGCTAGTACAAGCAGACGCACATACACATATGCACGCATGCACGTCGTCATATGAGCAAAATATTCTCCAGCACGACGTAAAACCCAATTTCACCTCACCTCACCTTAATGAGTTCCCTATCACGGATCTCTCCTTGAGAAGGTGATGTCTGTATCAAGGATCAGTCCCCTCACCAAGGATCGATTCATATATAGGGGAAAGGAAGGTTATATCTCTGCTAATAAGTAATTTTACTTGTCTCTGTCTCTCCCTTTTTATCACGCATCTCTATTTCTATCGCATCCAACGGATCTTTCAATGGTCTCTCTCTCTCTGTCGACAAGTTCTATCTATCATGGATCTTTACCTATCAAAATGATGTATTGACTCACGGATCGCTCCGTCTCAATTAAACAGTTCTCTCTACCAATGATCTATCACCTGTATCTAACTGATCTAACCCCTATCTCACGGATCTCATGCTATTGAGGACTTCTCTCTACACCGGATCAAACTCTTACATCACGGATCTCTTGCTATTGATGACTTTTCTCCACACCGGATCTTACCCTTATGTCAAGGATCTCTTCCTATTGAGGACTTCTCTCTACACCACATCTTACCTTATGCCATGGCTCTCATGCTATTAAGGACTTCTCTCTACACCGGATCATATCCTTATGTCATGGATCTCTTGTCAAAGATCTCTTCCTACCCTTATGTCATGGATCTCTTGCTATTGAGGACTTCTCTCTACACCAGATCTTACCCTTATGTCAAGGATCTCTTGCTATTGAGGACTTCTCTCTACACCGGATCTTACCCTTATGTCAAGGATCTCTTGCTATTGAGGACTTCTCTCTACACCGGATCTTACCCTTATGTCAAGGATCTCTTGCTATTGAGGACTTCTCTCTACACCAGATCTTACCCTTATGCCATGGATCTCTTGCTATTGAGGACTTCTCTCTACACCAGATCTTACCCTTATGTCATGGATCTCTTGCTATTGAGGACTTCTCTCTACACCAGATCTTACCCTTATGTCATGGATCTCTTGCTATTGAGGACTTCTCTCTACACCAGATCTTATTGAGGACTTCTCTCTACATCCTTATGTGTCATGGATCTCTTTGCTATTGAGGACTTCTCTACACCGGATCTTACCCTTATATCACGGATCTCTTTCTATTGAGGACTCTCTCTACACCTTCTCTCTACACCCGATCTTACCCTTATGTCATGGATCTCTTGCTATTGAGGACTTCTCTCTACACCGGATCTTACCCTTATGTCATGGATCTCTTGCTATTGATGACTTCTCTCTACACCAGATCTTACCCTTATGTCACGGATCTCTTTGCTATTGATGACTTCTCTCTACACCGAATCTTACCCTTATGTCACGGATTTATTGCTATAGATGACCTCTCTCTACACCGGATCTTACCCTTATGTCACGGATCTCTTGCTATTGAGGACTTCTCTCTACACCGAATCTTACCCTTATGTCACGGATCTCTTGCTATAGATGACTTCTCTCTACACCGGATCTTACCCTTATATCACGGATTTCTTGCTATAGATGACCTCTCTCTACACCGGATCTTACCCTTATGACACGGATTTATTCTATAGATGACACTCTACACCAATCTAACCCTTATATCACGGATCTCTTGCTATTGAGGACTTCTCTCTACACCGGATCTTACCCTTATGTCACGGATCTCTTGCTATAGATGACTTCTCTCTACACCGGATCTTACCCTTATGTCACGGATCTCTTGCTATTGAGGACTTCTCTCTACACCGAATCTTACCCTTATGTCACGGATCTCTTGCTATTGATGACTTCTCTCTACACCGGATCTTACCCTTATATCACGGATTTATTGCTATAGATGACCTCTCTCTACACCGGATCTTACCCTTATATCACGGATCTCTTGCTATAGATGACTTCTCTCTACACCGGATCTTACCCTTATATCACGGATTTATTGCTATAGATGACCTCTCTCTACACCGGATCTTACCCTTATATCACGGATTTCTTGCTATAGATGACTTCTCTCTCTACACCGGATCTTACCCTTATGTCACGGATTTATTGCTATAGATGACTTCTCTCTACACCGGATCTTACCCTTATATCACGGATTTATTGCTATAGATGACCTCTCTCTACACCGAATCTTACCCTTATATCACGGATCTCTTGCTATAGATGACTTCTCTCTACACCGGATCTAACCCTGACATGTATGTCACGGATCTTTTGCTATTATTGTTATTATTATAGGATGTTCATATAACGCACATATCCAGGCAACTAGTGCATGCTCAAGGCGCTGGTATTTGTTCCCTCGATCATTGGATGTCAATCTCAACGTCACATCGTATTATCAATCTCAACTCCCTGGAGAGTATACAGCTCTTGGAGCCACTAGGCGCACCGAGTTATTGTGGCTTTCTCATCATAACGAGGTACCCATTCACAGCTGGGTGGACTGGGGCACATAGTCACAGTACTTTGTCCAAGTTCATTGCACGTTGCTGTACCCGCAACTAGGTGTTTGCATGTAGTCATGTGGCCACCATCTGGTCATATACCAACAGATTCGTGGGTTCTTTCAAGTGCACAGGGTTGTGTACTGTTCACTAGAGGTTGTGACAACACTGAAAGAGTCTGCACCCAAAGCTGTCTCCAAGGTTTTTACACCCTGTCACAGGTGGGCTCGATCCCGACACCTCAACCTCGCTGGATCACTAGCCTAGCGCCTTAGCCAGCTCGCCCACCACCCCCTGTCCCCCCCTATCTCTTGCCATTGAGGACTTCTCTCTACACCGGATCTACCCCACTCCACCACAGATCTCTGCATGTCGAGGTCATTTCTCTATCATGGATGTGTGATTCCCTATCGACATGTCCTCTTAAATTATTCCCTACCAGGTGATCCCACCATGGAAAAAAACATCTACAAGTGTATTCCGTACGGCTGCTTTGCCAACACCTATTGTCCGCACATTAAAATAATCGCCCAATGAAAGAATGAATTCCTATGTATCACTGGCGGGGATCCGGTGATGTACAGGGGCACTGGGATAGCCTAGTGGTTAAAACGTTCGCTCGTCACGCCGAAGACCCGTGTTCGATTCCCCACATGAGCACAATGTCTGAAGTCCATTTCTGGTGTCCCCCGCCGTGATGTTGCTGGAATATTGCCAACAGCGGCGTAAAACTAAACTCTCACTCACTCACTCACTCATTCACACTCTCACTCACTCACTCACTCACTCACTCACTGTGAATATATCATGTGACCTGTTTGCAGATGGACATTATTGTTCGTGACACTGCTGCACACGGCCTCGGGGTACGGTGGCTACCGAGATAAAATACCCAACGGTAACACTGTCTCCAGTCCCTGCAAAGCTGGGGAGACGTGGCCCGGCGTGGGGCACCAACGGGTGTCGGGGGCGGGGCCAGGAACACCTTCGGACAGGACTTCGCAGACAACGGCAAGGTGAGATCTACGTACAACAGCAGGATTTTGTTGTGAATATGTTGTTGGCTAATAATATGTTTGGTGTATCGATAGGAAATCAGGTATGATCAGTTCGATGCGATTCACCACCGTCAGGATTTTACCGGAAGTTTAAGCTCTAAGTGCCTGAACCTATCCTGAGTTATCTAATGTTTGATATCTCCAGTCCTTTTTGTTTGTTTGTACAAACGACACAGTTCACAGCACAAAACGCAGATTAAACGCACAGAGAATTGTTACATATGGAACGTGCAAAGCACAGATTCAACAAAGTACTGTTACATATTTCACATACAAAGTACTATAACATTAAACATACAAAGCACATGTATCGAATTATTCGCCCAGCAAAGCCGCAATGGCGGTGCACAGGAAATATGAAGGATTTTAATTTTGTATTCGGTGTGTTTGAAACCTTTTCCAAAACAACATGTGGTCAGAAAAGTCCGGAATGATAGTTTTGAAATTGGTGCAACTATGTGAAATCTGCTTGGTACATAAGAAAACAAACGTTTAAATCAAAGGCAAAATATTCCTGAGCCAACATGCAATGGAGACATATTGTATTTCTGTCAATACAGCGTAGAAAAGACATAAATGCCAGCGAAAGTAATATCTAGTTTCTCGCTGAATTCTGTTAACAAATTCGAAATACTTGATTAGACTCACTAGTGTAAATAGAGCCACTTACTTCAGCCAACTGTTCTAAACTAAATTCTGCAAAATATTCCATACTGTTTAAAAGGTACTGTTTACACATGAACTGATGTCTTGCAAAACAAATTCGTAACGTTGAAAAGATTATTGACATGAGTTCAATAAATGATAAAAGTCAGTGAAAACTGACCAAAACTCAGCTCTTCACATGGACCATATTTGCACATGCTTTTCAGCAATTTGATACATGATCCTCGTGCAATTCATCTGCATAAGGTTTGCAGTTGGTTCCTTCAAGTTAGTGGAGAAATCTTCAATGTAACCATATATATATATATAGTAAGTGTTTTAAGTGAGTTCAAACTTTTGAAAGGAAGTATATATATGTTGTCCTATTATTTCCAATAATTAATGTTACATTCGACTCCTATAACCAAACAATTACAAACAGCTTAATAATGTTGTTTTTTCACTCAGGAATGGACCAGAGCGTTGTGTGAGAAGGATTCCGATGGTGACGGATTGACCAATGGTCAAGAACTGGGTGACCCCAACTGTACCTGGTCCCAGGGAACGACTAACGCCACGGGTTCACCGCTATCCCACCCAGGTGAGTGTCAGAGACCCCAACTGTACCTGATCCGTGGGAACGACTAACCCACGGGATCACCGCTATCCTACCCAGGTGAGTGTCATAGGCCCCAACTGTACCTGGTCCAAGGGAACGACTAGCCCCACGCGTTCACCGCTATCCCACCCAGGTGAGTGTCAGAGGCCCCAACTGTACCTGGTCCCAGGGAACGACTAGCCCCACGCGTTCACCGCTATCCAACCCAGGTGAGTGTCAGATACCCCAACTGTACCTGGTGCCTGGGAACGACTAGCCCCACGCGTTCACCGCTATCCCACCAAGGTGAGTGTCAGAGGCCCGAACTGTACCTGGTCCCAGGGAACGACTAGCCCCACGCGTTCACCGCTATCCCACCCAGGTGAGTGTCAGAGGCCCCAACTGTACCTGGTCCCAGGGAACGACTACCCCCACGCGTTCACCGCTATCCAACCCAGGTGAGTGTCAGAAACCCCAACTGTACCTGGTCCCAGGGAACGACTAACCAACGGGTTCACCGCTATCCCATCCAGGTGAGTGTCAGATACACCAACTGTACCTGGTCCCAGGGAACGACTAACCCCTAGGTCGGATTCAACAACTTAGCTTTTAACGGTGAGTTCAAAGGAGAGTGAAAACTCAAACAAATGACAAAAGATTGGGATTTACTCGTGGGTCAGTACATTTATGTCAAAATGATATCTGTTGTCAGTTTTCCAAAAACGTGTTCGCAACACATAATTCGTGAATTTGTTATATTTAATATACATGTTCCGTGCTCCATGGCTTCCGTTGCCAGATATATGATAAATGGGATTTACATCTAATAGGCAATACAAAACCCTTACCTGTGATCTGTCGTCCAATTGGTCTTTCGTCCTTCACCATAGTATTGTTTAGATACCAGACAACTAGATGGAATACAGGGATTGTTGATTGATTGCAAACTGTACAAGCTGTACATTGACTGGACTGTTTTGATAAAACGAGCACACTGCTTTCCTCTGTCCACTATCACCTCCTTTCACTATCTTCTATCCGCTACTTCCTTCTATTCACCATCATTTCTATCCGAAATACCCCTCCGTCCAGCACCTGTTCTATCCGATTTACCCTTGTATCCACAACCCCTTAAATCCGATATACCCTTCTATCCGAAACTTCCTTCTATCCGAAATACCCTTCTGTCCATCACTCCCTTCTATCCGATATACCTTTCTATCCAAAACTTCCTTCTATCCGAAATACCCTTCCGTCTATACCACTCCATTTTATCCGATATACCCTTGTATCCACTACTTCCTTCTATCCGAAATACCCTTCTGTCCACTACCGTTATTCTCATCAGCCATTCTGTCCAATATCCCTAGGTGTGTGTGACCCATGGAACGACCCCAAGTGTCTGGCCAGAGACGAGAGCTGGGTACTGCCGGCCTGTCAGGATTCGGGCTTCACCTGCAGCGGTATCAATGACGTCAGTACGTATCCACACCTTTGCATGAGTGAGTGAGGTTTAGTTTTACACCGCACCCAGCAATATACCAACTATATGACTGCGGTCTGTAAATAAACGAGTCTGGACCAGACGATCAACTGCTTGAGCATCGAACTACGCAATTGGGATATGATGACACGCCTCTTACGACAAGCATGGGTTACTGAAGATCAATTCTTACCCGGATCTTCACGGGTCCCCATTGCATGAAGGGAGATTACTTAGATATTTCGTGTGACGCACAGCCCTACCCTCCCTTTCGAAAATGTGGTCCGGTATGCGCCATTTCCTTGTCTTTGAATGTTCATTAACATTCATTTCGCTGATATGAGCAGCGTCGAGAGGTTGTCGGTGTAAAGAGGGTCAAAGGAAAAGTCGAGCCACATGCCCTTTTCAGGAAAATCCATCTCTCTCACACACGTTCTATAAAGAGGAGCTGGTTACTTTGTATACACCCTGTGAGTATTCCGGGTAGGAACAAAGGTCCCAAGCGACCCTTGCTTGTCGTAAGAGACTGGAAATGACACGTGGTTAGACTCAGCCTTGGTAGAGTGCAGTTGTTCGTCATAATGTCAGTCACCGGATTGTCTGATCTAGGACTGTCTCATTACAGAGTGTCGTGATATAGCTGGAATATCGCGGCATTTAACTCACAAAAAAAACCAATACTGGTGTTTCCAAAGCCGCATTAACTTGCTCACACACCCTCCCTGTACCCTCTGGTCAACCCGTGCATCCGGTTACGGATTTCGGAATTTGGTCGTTTCGGTACACACTGTTTAACTTTGTCAACGCTTTCCTGACTAGACGTGAGAAGATTGGATCTGAAGTTACCCCAGACTTCTGTGCCTGCAGCAGAAACTACCTATATGTGTCAGATCTTCTCCATCCCCAACGACACGGACTACCACATCATTGCCAGCCAGCCCCTCATCGACAACGTCAACATCATGCACCACGCCGTCGTCTTCGGCTGCACTAAAGGTAACTGTTTAGAACTGTAGACACCCGCCCTCAAAAATAGCATTACCAGTTGTAGACATCCACCTCAACTATATGGACACCCACCCCGGCTGTAGACACCCGCCCCAACTGTAGACATCGACCTCAACTATATGGACACCCACCCCGACTGTGGACATCCGCCCCAATTGTAGACATCCACCTCAACTATATGGACACCCACCCCGACTGTAGACATCCGCCCCAGTTGTAGACATCCACCTGAACTATATGGACACCCACCCCAACTGCAGACACCCGCCCCAACCCGACTGTGGACATCCGCCCCAATTGTAGACATCCACCTCAACTATATGGACACCCACCCCGAGTGTGGACACCCGCCCCAGTTGTAGACATCCACCTGAACTATATGGACACCCACCCCGACTGTAGACACCCGCCCCAGTTGTAGACATCCACCTCAACTATATGGACACCCACCCCGACTGTGGACATCCGCCCCAATTGTAGACACCCCACTTTAACTATATGGACACCCACCCCGACTGTGGACACCCGCCCCAATTGTAGACATCGACCTGAACTATATGGACACCCACCCCGACTGTGGACACCCGCCCCAATTGTAGACATCCACCTGAACTATATGGACACCCACCCCGACTGTGGACACCCGCCCCAACTGTAGACATCCACTTCAACTATATGGACACCCACCCCGACTGTAGACACCCGCCCCAATTGTAGACATCCACTTCAACTATATGGACACCTACCCCGACTGTGGACACCCGCCCCAATTGTAGACATCGACCTGAACTATATGGACACCCACCCCGACTGTAGACACCCGCCCCAATTGTAGACATCCACTTCAACTATATGGACACCCATCCCGACTGTGGACACCCGCCCCAATTGTAGACATCGACCTGAACTATATGGACACCCGCCCCGACTGTGGACACCCGACCCAATTGTAGACATCCACCTCAATTATATGGACACCAACCCCGACTCTGGACATCCGCCCCAATTGTGGACATCCACCTGAACTATATGGACACCCACCCCGACTGTAGACATCCGCCCCAACTGAAGACAACGACCTCAACTATATTGACACCCACCCCGACTGTAGACATCCACCCCAATTGTAGACATCCACCTGAACTATATGGACACCCACCCCGACTGTAGACACCCGCCCCAATTGTAGACATCCACCTCAATTATATGGACACCCATCCCGACTGTGGACACCCGCCCCAACTGTAGACATCGACCTGAACTATATGGACACCCACCCCGACTGTAGACACCCGCCCCAGTTGTAGACATCCACCTGAACTATATGGACACCCACCCTGACTGCAGGCACCTGCCCACCCCCGACTGTGGACATCCGCCCCAATTGTAGACATCCACCTGAACTATATGGACACCTACCCCGAGTGTGGACACCCGCCCCAGTTGTAGACATCCACCTGAACTATATGGACACCCACCCCGACTGTAGACACCCGCCCCAGTTGTAGACATCCACCTCAACTATATGGACACCCACCCCGACTGTGGACATCCGCCCCAATTGTAGACATCCACTTCAACTATATGGACACCCACCCCGACTGTGGACACCCGCCCCAATTGTAGACATCGACCTGAACTATATGGACACCCACCCCGACTGTGGACACCCGCCCCAATTGTAGACATCCACCTGAACTATATGGACACCCACCCCGACTGTAGACACCCGCCCCAACTGTAGACATTCCACTTCAACTATATGGACACCCACCCCGACTGTACACACCCGCCCCAATTGTAGACATCAACTTCAACTATATGGACACCCACCCCGACTGTGGACACCCGCCCCAATTGTAGACATCGACCTGAACTATATGGACACCCACCCCGACTGTAGACACCCGCCCCAATTGTAGACATCCACTTCAACTATATGGACACCCACCCCGACTGTGGACACCTCGCCCCAATTGTAGACATCGACCTGAACTATATGGACACCCACCCCGACTGTGGACACCTGACCCAATCGTAGACATCCACCTCAATTATATGGACACCCACCCTGACTCTGGACATCTGCCCCACCAGGGACATCCACCTGAACTATATGGACACCCACCCCGACTGTAGACATCCGCCCCAACTGAAGACAACGACCTCAACTATATTGACACCCACCCCGACTGTAGACATCCACCCCAATTGTAGACATCCACCTGAACTATATGGACACCCACCCCAACTGTAGACACCCGCCCCAATTGTAGACATCCACCTCAATTATATGGACACCCATCCCGACTGTGGACACCCGCCCCAACTGTAGACATCCACCTGAACTATATGGACTCCTACCCCGACTGTGGACACCCGCCCCAATGTAGACATCCACCTCAACTATATGGACACCCACCCCGACTGTAGACATCCGCCCCAACTGTAGACATCCTCCTCAATTATATGGACACCCATTCCGACTGTGGACACCCGCCCCAACTGTAGACATCCACCTGAACTATATGGACACCCGCCCCAACTGTAGACAACGACCTCAACTATATTGACACCCACCCCGACTATAGACATCCGCCCCAACTGTAGACATCCACCTGAACTATATGGACACCCACCCCGACTGTAGACACCTGCCCCAATTGTAGACATCCACCTCAATTATATGGACACCCATCCCGACTGTTGACACCCGCCCCAACTGTAGACATCCACCTGAACTATATGGACACCCACCCCAACTGTAGACAACGACCTCAACTATATTGACACCCACCCCGACTGTAGACATCCGCCCAAACTGTAGACATCCACCTGAACTATATGGACACCCACCCCGACTGTGGACACCCGCCCCCAATTGTAGACATCCACCTGAACTATATGGACACCCACCCCGACTGTGGACACCCGCCCCAACTGTAGACATCCACATGAACTATATGGACACCCACCCCGACTGTAGACACCCGCCCCAATTGTAGACATCCACTTCAACTATGGACACCCACCCCTGACTGTGGACACCCGCCCCCAATTGTAGACATCGACCTGAACTATATGGACACCCACCCCGACTGTAGACACCCGCCCCAATTGTAGACATCCACTTCAACTATATGGACACCCACCCCGACTGTGGACACCCGCCCCAATTGTAGACATCGACCTGAACTATATGGACACCCACCCCGACTGTGGACACCCGACCCAATTGTAGACATCCACCTCAATTATATGGACACCCACCCCGACTCTGGACATCCGCCCCAATTGTGGACATCGACCCTGAACTATATGGACACCCACCCGACTGTAGACATCCGCCCCAACTGAAGACAACGACCTCAACTATATTGACACCCACCCCGACTGTAGACATCCACCCCAATTGTAGACATCCACCTGAACTATATGGACACCCACCCCGACTGTAGACACCCGCCCCAATTGTAGACATCCACCTCAATTATATGGACACCCATCCCGACTATGGACACCCGCCCCAACTGTAGACATCCACCTGAACTATATGGACACCGACCCCGACTGTAGACACCCGCCCCAGTTGTAGACATCCACCTGAACTATATGGACACCCACCCCGACTGCAGGCACCCGCCCCACCCCGACTGTGGACATCCGCCCCAATTGTAGACATCCACCTCAACTATATGGACACCAACCCCGAGTGTGGACACCCGCCCCAGTTGTAGACATCCACCTGAACTATATGGACACCCACCCCGACTGTAGACACCCGCCCCAGTTGTAGACATCCACCTCAACTATATGGACACCCACCCCGACTGTGGACATCCGCCCCAATTGTAGACATCCACTTCAACCATATGGACACCCACCCCGACTGTGGACACCCGCCCCAATTGTAGACATCCACCTGAACTATATGGACACCCACCCCAACTGTAGACAACGACTCAACTATATTGACACCCACCCCGACTGTAGACATCCGCCCAAACTGTAGACATCCACCTGAACTATATGGACACCCACCCCGACTGTGGACACCTGCCCCCAATTGTAGACATCCACCTGAACTATATGGACACCCACCCCGACTGTGGACACCTGCCCCAACTGTAGACATCCACATGAACTATATGGACACCCACCCCGACTGTAGACACCCGCCCCAATTGTAGACATCCACTTCAACTATATGGACACCCACCCCGACTGTGGACACCCGCCCCAATTGTAGACATCGACCTGAACTATATGGACACCCACCCCGACTGTAGACACCCGCCCCAATTGTAGACATCCACTTCAACTATATGGACACCCACCCCGACTGTGGACACTCCGCCCCAATTAGACATCGACCTGAACTATATGGACACCCACCCCGACTGTGGACACCCGACCCAATTGTAGACATCCACCTCAATTATATGGACACCCACCCCGACTCTGGACATCCGCCCCAATTGTGGACATCGACCTGAACTATATGGACACCCACCCCGACTGTAGACATCCGCCCCAACTGAAGACAACGACCTCAACTATATTGACACCCACCCCGACTGTAGACATCCACCCCAATTGTAGACATCCACCTGAACTATATGGACACCCACCCCGACTGTAGACACCCGCCCCAATTGTAGACATCCACCTCAATTATATGGACACCCATCCCGACTATGGACACCCGCCCCAACTGTAGACATCCACCTGAACTATATGGACACCGACCCCGACTGTAGACACCTGCCCCACCCCTGACTGTGGACATCCGCCCCAATTGTAGACATCCACCTCAACTATATGGACACCAACCCCGAGGGACACCCGCCCCAGTTGTAGACATCCACCTGAACTATATGGACACCCACCCCGACTGCAGGCACCTGCCCCACCCCGACTGTGGACATCCGCCCCAATTGTAGACATCCACCTCAACTATATGGACACCAACCCCGAGTGTGGACACCGCCCCAGTTGTAGACATCCACCTGAACTATATGGACACCCACCCCGACTGTAGACACCCGCCCCCAGTTGTAGACATCCACCTCAACTATATGGACACCCACCCCGACTGTGGACATCCGCCCCACTGTAGACATCCACTTCAACCATATGGACACTCCACCCGACTGTGGACACCTGCCCCAATTGTAGACATTGACCTGAACTATATGGACACCCACCCCGACTGTGGACACCCGCCGCAATTGTAGACATCCACCTGAACTATATGGACACTCCACCCCGACTGTAGACACCCGCCACAACTGTAGACATTCCACTTCAACTATATGGACACCCACCCCGACTGTGGACACCCGCCCCAATGTAGACATCGACCTGAACTGTATGGACACCCACGCCGACTGTGGACACCCGACCCAATCGTAGACATCCACCTCAATTACATGGACACCCAACCCGACTCTGGACATCCGCCCCAATTGTGGACATCCACCTGAACTATATGGACACCCACCCCGACTGTAGACATCCGCCCCAACTGAAGACAACGACCTCAACTATATTGACACCCACCCCGACTGTAGACATCCACCCCAATTGTAGACATCCACCTGAACTATATGGACACCCACCCCGACTGTAGACACCCGCCCCAATTGTAGACATCCACCTAAATTATATGGACACCCATCCCGACTGTGGACACCCGCCCCAACTGTAGACATCCACCTGAACTATATGGACTCCCACCCCGACTGTGACACCCGCCCCAATTGTAGACATCCACCTGAACTATATGGACACCCACCCCGACTGTAGACATCCGCCCCAACTGTAGACATCCTCCTCAATTATATGGACACCCATTCCGACTGTGGACACCCGCCCCAACTGTAGACATCCACCTCAATTATATGGACACCCATCCCGACTGTGGACACCCGCCCCAACTGTAGACATCCACCTGATCTATATGGACACCCACCCCAACTGTAGACAACGACCTCAACTATATTGACACCCACCCCGACTGTAGACATCCGCCCAAACTGTAGACATCCACCTGAACTATATGGACACCCACCCCGACTGTAGACACCCGCCCCAATTGTAGACATCCACCTGAACTATATGGACACCCATCCCGACTGTGGACACCCGCCCAAATTGTAGACATCCACCTGAACTATATGGACACCCACCCCGACTGTGGACACCCGCCCCAACTGTAGACAACGACCTCAACTATAATGACCACCCACCCCGACTGTAGACATCCACCCCAATTGTAGACATCCACCTGAACTATATGGACACCCACCCCACGACTGTAGACACCCGCCCCAATTGTAGACATCCACCTCAATTATATGGACACCCCATCCCGACTGTGGACACCCGCCCCAACTGTAGACATCCACCTGAACTATATGGACACCCACCCCCCGACTGTGGACACCCGCCCCAATTGTAGACATCCACCTGAACTATATGGACACCCACCCCGACTGTAGACATCCGCCCCAACTGTAGACATCCTCCTCAATTATATGGACACCCATCCCGACTGTGGACACCCGCCCCAATTGTAGACATCCACCTGAACTATATGGACACCCGCCCCAACTGTAGACAACGACCTCAACTATATTGACACCCACCCCGACTGTAGACACTCCGCCCCAACTGTAGACATCCACCTGAACTATATGGACACCCACCCTGACTGTAGACACCCGCCCCAATTGTAGACATCCACCTCAATTATATGGACACCTCATCCTGACTGTGGACACCCGCCCCCAACTGTAGACATCCACCTGAACTGTAATGGACACCCACCCCAACTGTAGACAACGACCTCAACTATATTGACACTCCACCCCGACTGTAGACATCCTCCCAAACTGTAGACATCCACCTGAACTATATGGACACCCACCCCGACTGTAGACACCCGCCCCAATTGTAGACATCCACCTCAATTATATGGACACCCATCCCGACTGTGGACACCCGCCCCAACTGTAGACATCGACCTGAACTATATGGACACCCACCCCGACTGTAGACACCCGCCCCAGTTGTAGACATCCACCTGAACTATATGGACACCCACCCCGACTGCAGGCACCTGCCCCTCACCCCGACTGTGGACATCCGCCCTAATTGTAGACATCCACCTGAACTATATGGACACCCACCCCGAGTGTGGACACCCGCCCCAGTTGTAGACATCCACCTGAACTATATGGACACCCGCTCCAATTGTAGACATCCACCTGAACTATATGGACACCCACCCCGACTGTAGACACCCGCCCCAACTGTAGACATCCACCTAAATTATATGGACACCCATCCCGACTGTGGACACCCGCCCCAACTGTAGACATCAACCTGAACTATATGGACTCCCCACCCCGACTGTGGACACCCGCCCCAATTGTAGACATCCACCTGAACTATATGGACACCCTTACCCCGACTGTAGAGACCCGCCCCAATTGTAGACATCCACTTCAACTATATGGACACCCACCGCGACTGTGGACACCCGCCCCAACTGTAGACATCCACCTGAACTATATGGACACCCGTCCCAACTGTAGACAACGACCTCAACTATATTGACACCCACCCCGACTATAGACATCCGCCCCAACTGTAGACATCCACCTAAACTATATGGGACATCCACCCCGACTGTAGACACCTGCCCCAATTGTAGACATCCACCTCAATTATATGGACACCCCATCCTGACTGTGGACACCTGCCCCAACTGTAGACATCCACCTGAACTATATGGACACCCACCCCAACTGTAGACAACGACCTCAACTATATTGACACCCACCCCGACTGTAGACATCCGCCCAAACTGTAGACATCCACCTGAACTATATGGACACCCACCCCGACTGTAGACACCCGCCCCAATTGTAGACATCCACCTGAACTATATGGACACCCATCCCGACTGTGGACACCCGCCCAAATTGTAGACATCCACCTGAACTATATGGACACCCACCCCGACTGTAGACACCCGCCCCAACTGTAGACAACGACCTCAACTATATTGACACCCACCCCGACTGTAGACATCCACCCCAATTGTAGACATCCACCTGAACTATATGGACACCCACCCTGACTGTAGACACCTCGCCCCCCCAATTGTAGACATCCACCTCAATTATATGGACACCCATCCCGACTGTGGACACCTGCCCCAACTGTAGACATCCACTTCAACTATATGGACACCCACCCTGACTGTGGACACCCGCCCCAATTGTAGACATCCACCTGAACTATATGGACACCCACCCCTGACTGTAGACATCCGCCCCAACTGTAGACATCCTCCTCAATTATATGGACACCCATCCTGACTGTGGACACCTGCTCAATTGTAGACATCCACCTGAACTATATGGACACCCGCCCCAACTGTAGACAACGACCTCAACTATATTGACACCCACCCCGACTGTAGACACCCGCCCCAACTGTAGAAATCCACCTGAACTATATGGACACCCACCCCGACTGTAGACACCCGCCCCAATTGTAGACATCCACCTCAATTATATGGACACCCATCCCGACTGTGGACACCCGTCCCAACTGTAGACATCCACCTGAACTGTATGGACACCCACCCCAACTGTAGACAACGACCTCAACTATATTGACACCCACCCCGACTGTAGACATCCGCCCCAACTGTAGACATCCACCTGAACTATATGGACACCCACCCCGACTGTAGACACCCGCCCCAATTGTAGACATCCACCTCAATTATATGGACACCCATCCCGACTGTGGACACCCGCCCCAACTGTAGACATCCACCTGAACTATATGGACACCGACCCTGACTGTAGACACCCGCCCCTAGTTGTAGACATCCACCTGAGCTATATGGACACCCACCCTGACTGCAGGCACCTGCCCCACCCCGACTGTGGACATCCGCCCCAATTGTAGACATCCACCTGAACTATATGGACACTCCAACCCGAGGTGGACACTCCGCCCCAGTTGTAGACATCCACCTGAACTATATGGACACCCACCCCGACTGTAGACACTCCGCCCCAGTTGTAGACATCCTCCTCAACTATATGGACACCCACCTCGACTGTGGACATCCGCCCCAATTGTAGACATCCACTTCAACTATATGGACACCCACCCCGACTGTGGACACCCCAATTGTAGACATCGACCTGAACTATATTGACACCCACCCCACTGTAGACATCCACCCCAATTGTAGACATCCACCTGAACTATATGGACACCCACCCCAACTGTAGACACCCGCCCCACCTGTAGACATCCACCTCAATTATATGGACACCCATCCCGACTGTGGACACCTGCCCCAACTGTAGACATCCACCTGAACTATATGGACTCCCACCCCGACTGTGGACACCCGCCCCAATTGTAGACATCCACCTGAACTATATGGACACCCACCCCGACTGCAGGCACCTGCCCCACCCTGACTGTGGACATCCGCCCCAATTGTAGACATCCACCTGAACTATATGGACACCCACCCTACTGTAGACACCTCGCCCCAGTTGTAGACATCCACCTCAACTATATGGACACCCACCCCTGACTGTGGACATCCGTCCCAATTGTAGACATCCACTTCAACTATATGGACACCCATCCCGACTATGGACACCCGCCTTAACTGTAGACATCCACCTGAACTATATGGACACCCACCCCGACTGTAGACACCCGCCCCAGTTGTAGACATCCACCTGAACTATATGGACACCCATCCCGACTGCAGGCACCCGCCCACCCCGACTGTGGACATCCGCCCCAATTGTAGACATCCACCTGAACTATATGGACACCCACCCGACTGTAGACACCCGCCCCAGTTGTAGACATCCACCTCAACTATATGGACACCCACCCCGACTGTGGGACATCCGCCCCAATTGTAGACATCCACTTCAACTATATGGACACCCACCCCGACTATGGACACCCGCCCCAATTGTAGACATCGACCTGAACTATATGGACACCCACCCCGACTGTGGACACCCGCCCCACCAGACATCCACCTCAACTATATGGACACCCACCCCGACTGTAGACACCTCCGCCCCAGTTGTAGACATCCACTTCAACTATATGGACACCCACCCCGACTGTAGACACCCGCCCCAATTGTAGACATCCACCTCAATTATATGGACACCCATCCTGACTATGGACACCCGCCCCAACTGTAGACATCCACCTGAACTATATGGACACCCACCCCGACTGTAGACACCCGCCCCAGTTGTAGACATCCACCTGAACTATATGGACACCCACCCGACTGCAGGCACCCGCCCACCACCCCGACTGTGGACATCCGCCCCAATTGTAGACATCCACCTGAACTATATGGACACCCACCCCGACTGTAGACACCCGCCCCAGTTGTAGACATCCACCTCAACTATATGGACACCCACCCCGACTGTGGACATCCGTCCCAATTGTAGACATCCACTTCAACTATATGGACACCCATCCCGACTGTGGACACCCGCCCCAATTGTAGACATCCACCTGAACTATATGGACACCCACCCCGACTGTAGACATCCGCCCCAGTTGTAGACATCCACCTCCTGAACTATATGGACACCCACCCCGACTGCAGGCATCCGCCTCCCAACTGTGGACATCCGCCCCAATTGTAGACATCCACCTGAACTATATGGACACCCACCCCGACTGTAGACACCCGCCCCAGTTGTAGACATCCACCTCAACTATATGGACACCCACCCCGACTGTGGACATCCGCCCCAATTGTAGACATCCACTTGAACTATATGGACACCCACCCCGACTGTGGACATCCGCCCCAATTGTAGACATCCACCTGAACTATATGGACTCCCCACCCGACTGTGGACATCCGCCCCAATTGTAGACATCCACCTCAACTATATGGACACCCACCCCGACTGTAGACATCCGCCCCAATTGTAGACATCCACTTCAACTATATGGACACCCACCCCGACTGTGGACACCCGCCCCAATTGTAGACATCCACCTGAACTATATGGACACCCCACCCCGACTGTGGACACCCGACCCAATTGTAGACATCCACCTCAACTATATGGACACCCAACCCGACTGTGGACATCCGCCCCAATTGTGGACATCCACCTCAACTATATGGACACCCACCCCGACTGTAGACATCCGCCCCAACTGAAGATCAACCCTCAACTATATGGACACCCACCCCGACTGTAGACATCCACCCCAATTGTAGACATCCACCTCAACTATATGGACACCCACCCCTGACTGTGGACATCCGCCCCAATTGTAGACATCCACCTCAATTATATGGACACCCATCCCGACTGTGAACACCCGCCCCAACTGTAGACATCCACCTCAACTATATGGACACCCCCCGACCTGACTGTGGACCTGGAACATATGGACCCCGCCCCAACTGTAGACATCGACCTCAACTATATGGACACCCACCCCGACTATAGACATCCGCCCCAACTGCAGACATCCACCTAAACTATATGGACACCCACCCCGACTGTAGACACCTGCCCCAATTGTAGACATCCACCTCAATTATATGGACACCCATCCCGACTGTGGACACCCGCCCCAACTGTAGACATCCACCTGAACTATATGGACACCCACCCCAACTGTAGACAACGACCTCAACTATATTGACACCCACCCCGACTGTAGACATCCGCCCAAACTGTAGACATCCACCTGAACTATATGGACACCCACCCCGACTGTAGACACCCGCCCAAATTGTAGACATCCACCTGAACTATATGGACACCCATCCTGACTGTGGACACTCCCCAATTGTAGACATCCACCTGAACTATATGGACACCCACCCCGACTGTGGACACCCGCCCCAACTGTAGACATCGACCTCAACTATATGGACACCCACCCCGACTGTAGACATCCACCCCAATTGTAGACATCCACCTGAACTATATGGACACCAACCCCGACTGTGGACATCCGCCCCAATTGTAGACATCGATCTGAACTATATGGACACCCACCCCGACTGTGGACATCCGCCCCAATTGTAGACATCGACCTCAACTATATGGACACCCACCCCGACTGTGGACATCCGCCCCAATTGTAGACATCCACCTGAACTATATGGACACCCACCCCGACTGTGGACACACGCCCCAATTGTAGACATCCACCTCAACTATATGGACACCTGCCCGACTGTGGACACCCGCCCCAACTGTAGACATCGATCTCAACTATATGGACACCCACCCCGACTGTGGACACCCGCCCCAACTGTAGACATCCATCTGAAATTATATGGACACCCATCCCGACTGTGGACACCCGCCCCAACTGTAGACATCCACCTCAATTATATGGACACCCACCCCGACTGTAGACATCCGCCCCAATTGTAGACATCCACCTCAATTATATGGACACCCATCCCGACTGTGGACATCCGCCCCAATTGTAGACATCCACCTCAACTATATGGACACCCACCCCGACTGTAGACATCCGCCCCAATTGTAGACATCCACCTCAATTATATGGACACCCACCCCGACTGTGGACATCCACCTCAACTATATGGACATCCACCCCAACTGTGGACATCCGCCCCAACTGTAGACATCCACCTCAATTATATGGACATCCACCCCAACTATGAACACCCACCCCGACTGTGGACATCCGCCCCAATTGTAGACATCCACCTCAACTATATGGACACCCACCCCGACTGTAGACACCCGCCCCCAACTGTAGACATCCACCTCAATTATATGGACACCCACCCGACTGTGGACACCCGCCCCAACTGTAGACATCCACCTCAACTATATGGACACCCACCCCCCTGACTGTGGACATCCGCCCCAATTGTAGACATCCACCTCAATTATATGGACACCCACCCCGACTGTAGACATCCGCCCCAATTGTAGACATCCACCTCAACTATATGGACACCCACCCCGACTGTGGACATCCGCCCCAATTGTAGACATCCACCTCAACTATATGGACACCCACCCCGACTGTGGACATCCGCCCCAATTGTAGACATCCACCTCAACTATATGGACACCCACCCCGACTGTGGACATCCGCCCCAATTGTAGACATCCACTTCAACTATATGGACACCCACCCCGACAGTGGACATCCGCCCGAACTGTAGACATGGACCCAGTCCTTGACATCCGCCACAACTATATACATAACGGGGCGGTGGGGTAGCCTAATGGTTAAAGCGTTGGCTCGTCACGCCGAAGACCCGGGTTCGAATCCCCACATGGGCACAATGTGTGAAGCCCATTTCTGGTGTCCCCCGCCGTGATGTTGCTGCAATATTGCTGAAAGCGGCGTAAAACCAAACTCAGTCAGTGAGTCAGTATATACATAACTCCCATCTGTAGACATTCTGGATCTAAACAGATCCCATCAATCGAGGTTTGTCATTAGAATCATGTGATTCACTTTCTCCTAGATGGACCGAGCCTTTGTATTTACTTTACATCAGTACAGCTATACGCTAATACCAGCGCAGATACCGGCTGAGAATAGGGTGGGCAGACTCGGTGACTTACTTGCATGGACCAATGCTCATCAGTGCCTGGGCTTCCTTTCTCAAAGCACTAAGGTAACCTTAGTGCAGTGTTAAAGAATGGGAGTTAAGGTTAACCTTAGTAAAGGTTGCTTCGTGAAAAGAGCCCCTAAGCCTGAATCGTTCATAGTACTGTCGCCATAGAGCTGCAGTGGTGCTGTGTTAGATGTTCACATTGTCCCCAACCGGATGATAAGAAAACACACACAATATAGCGGTGTCCTTCTCACAGACACAATATATTGGCAACATATTTTGGGTGCATATGATGACACCTCCGGACGTCTGTCCCCATTCAGACGAAGCTGCACATCCATCCCCCTATCGGTGTGGTATGCTGCCTGGTTTGAGTTGTAATGCCATCGTCAGCCTCTGGTCGCTGGGCAACGCTGGTGATTGTCAACACGAGACGGTAGGAATCAGGATTGGGGTAAACGGCTTTAAGAAGTTAGCTCTTCAGGTAAGTAACATACTTGAGTGAGTGGGTAGGTGGGTTTTGGGTGAGTGAGTTTAGTTTTTACGCAGCACTCAGCAATATTCCAGCGGTCTGTAAATAATCCAGTCTGGACCAGACAATCCAGTGATCAGCAGATCGATCCATGCAATTGGGAACCGATGACATGTGTCAACCAAGTCAGCATGCCTGACCACCCGATCACGTTAGTCACCTCTTACGACAAGCATGGGTTACTGAAGACTAATATTCTAACCCGGACCTTCACGAGTCGAGTGAGTGAGTGAGTGAGGTTTGGGTGAGCGTGTGAGTGGGGTTTGGGTGAGTGAGTGAGTGAGCTATATAATACGGTGTGTCAGTTCAATATAGGAGCTGGAACTAATGTAGAGCGTTGACAAAGATGTTTGCCACAATAGCGAAACCCTCTATAATTATTTAGTGCCCAATGTTGTTAAATACTATTGATCACATGAGAAGTAAATACACATACCGGTTACTGTACAAATGCTAATAATTCCCTCATTTTAGTAGCAGCAGATATTTCAGCCACTGAACTGACCAATCTCTACGATTCAATACAAAATTCATCAAAAAATAAAAAGACATTATTGAGTCAAACAGATTTAATCTTATTTCTATTTCCACTCAAACTATCCATAACTCTCCAAAACTAAAAACGATTAACGAAAAGTGGGATCTAGACTGTGTAGTTTGTAGCGAGCAGTGCAGCATGAATGTTTTTTGGACTTGTGATATGATTAACGTCCTTTATTGAAGACGCGTCCGCCAGTTTGGGAGATACATCATTAGACATTGCTTTTACTGTAGGCAAGACGAGAAATGTTTACCGCAGCTTGCAAGAGATATACCAATATCTGTCCTACTATAGTTACACTAAAGTTTGTCAAAATATTTCTGACACATTCTCTCTTATCAAAGGTGCACTGGAACAATCCCGAGAAGAAGAGTGACTATTTCGACCAATCAGGAATGAGGATCTACTACACTCCGAACCTGCGTACTTACGATGCAGGTATCCTGACCACTGGTCAAGAGAGCCTGCTGATCCCACCTGGAGAAAGCAGTGTGAAGGCTGTGGCTAGCGTCCCCAGTGTCTGTACTAGCCACTTCTTCACAGAGACAATAAATGCAACAGCAGCTATCAACCACATGCATTACCTAGGTATGTGCTTGATTCCATATTTTCCACATGTCCTTTAATAAATAGTGATTATTGACTGAGTGTTTCCATATCAGAATTATCATATATACTACCCATCAAAAGTTTAGACTCACTAGTGTAAATGCAGCCACTTACTTCAGTCAACTGTCCTAAACTAGATTTTGTAAAATATTCCATACTGTATAAGGTACTGTTTACACATGAACTGATGTATTGTAAAACAAATTTGTAACATTGAAAATATTATTGCACAAGCTTTTCAGCAATTTGATACATGATCCTCATCTACATAATGTTTGCAGTTGGTTTCCCCTAAGATAGTGGAGAATTGCATCTTCGATGTAACCATAGATATATATATACATGACATATAGTGAGGGCTTTAAGTGAGTCTAAACTTTTGATGGGTAGTATATTAGGAATATGTATTTTATATTTATCATATTTGCTATTAATGATATGGAAACACACGAGGTTAATAATCGCTTTATCATATAATGTTATTCTTAAAATAACTCTAGAAAGAAGCAAATGGTACGTGAATTTATATGAAAAGAATTGAGCATTCGCTTAAGATATATACTTTGTGGAAGACCAAGGTGCAAGACCGTTCATGACGCAATGGAACCCCACTGTAATATACTGCACATACTCGGTACAGACTGGATAAGTCGACGAAGTCGCTCTTGTGGAGATCTTCCCCACTCTTCCTGCAATGCGTTGGCGAGTTGTGGAAGTGTCTCAGGCGTGTTTTGACGTTGACGCCCACGTCGGTCGAGTTCATCCCATAGGTGTTCTTCCGGGTTTAGATTTGACAATCGGGAAGACCATGGCAAAATATTGACGTTAGAATTTGCAGTGTAGCGGACCGTGATGCGTGCTGTTTATGAAGTAGCTTTGTCATGTTGGAACAACTCCCTCTGTCGGTCCAGAATCGGAAGCATGTGACGTGCATGGCCTTCGTTGGTGTACAGGTTTGCTGTCAAATATCCCTGAACCACCATTAAGTCAGATCTTTGTGTGCTTGACATCTGACCCCACGCCATGACACTGTCTCCGCCGAAACTGTCGACCTGTCGAATGCACTTGGGGGCAAAACGTTCTTTTCTCCAACGGTAAACACGTTCTCGTCTGTAAAGAAGAAATCGTGATTCATCACTGAACCAGACTCGCCTCCAGTTTCTAAGGTTCCATTTCCGGACTCTACGACACCACCGTAAGTGATTGCGCCGATGGAAGTCTCTCAAAACAGGGGTGACAACTGGCCTTCTTGACCGAATCCCCACTTCATGCAATGGCTTCCTGACAGTTTGGTCGGAAATTCTTCTCAAACCAGGGAAGCGTTGTGCAGTCTCTACGGCTGTTGCAAGACGATGACGCAAATGAGCAACCCGGAAGTACCGGTACTGAGCTTGTTGGATAACTCTTGGTCTGCCGCTTCTCGGGCGATCTTGGGCGGAACTGGTCTGCAGGAAACGATCTCAGAGGCGAGATATGGTGCTCTGATGAACGTTGAAATGTCGGGCATCTGCAGACTGCGACTCCCCAGCTTCAAGGCCGCCTATGGCGATGTTTCGATTGGCGGCACTCAGTCGTAGCATGATGATTTCCTCTTTTCCAGGCAAAAATGAATGACAAAATTAAACACAACGTTTGCCTTTATAATAATCGATACCGCATGCTTTTTCCGATGTTTTGGCGAATATTTCTTCAAGGGCTTCTAAAACAAGAGAAAACGTTAAAATTGTCGCATTTTTTCCCTGAAGCTGTTTACAATCACACAAAGATGACATTTCAAGTCAAAACATTGATTACGCAACAGTCTTGTTTCCTGCTGACTGGGTTCCGTCCTATTGTGCAACTTAGTACAATAACCAGTCCAGAATTTTGAGACCAATTCATTCAACTGAATATATAAAAATTACTCATTATTATTTGATACATCTAAGCACTTCTATATTGCAACACTACGCTCCTTCCATCCCTTGCAAACGCGTCGTGCAGCGTGCTCTGTCGAACAGCGTGCTCTGACAAACGGAAATCTGGAAATCGTTGAAATCTCAAAACGAGGCTTGGTCGCTAGAAAAGTTTGGCGGTCTGGTACGGACTTTATATTATATCAATCACATTGCACGTTTCCACACTACACTGAATAAACGCAAGGAACACATAACAGGTGTAACCAATGAGCCAGATGAATTGTGGATCATTTGACGACCTCATCAAACAGGGGCAGTCTGTGACGTCTCAGTTAAGGTCATGCTGCCTACACCTCGCCATAAAATATAGAAATACGATTAAAATTTAAAATAAAAATATATGTAAATACCAATTTCTTATAAACCAAGGAATTGGAATTCAGTGTAACAATAGTTGTTTGTGGTGTCTCTTTTCACGTTCACACGAGAAAATTCGGATCGGCTGAAAAGTAGGTCATTGTCTGAATAGGTTAATGAGACTCATGTTTCGGTTTGTGGAAGGAAATAGTACATCCGTATTGTTTTCGCGCAGCTGCATGCATCCAATATTCTCAAAATCACCTATGCGGGTTTGTTTTTGTTTTTGTTTGTTTGTTTTTGTTTGTTTTGATTTTTGTGTGTGTATGTTTTGTTTTGTGTTGTTGTTTTGTGTTTTATTGGGGTGGGGTGGGGGGGTGTTGTCTCTTGTTTTTTATTTTATTTTTTATTGAAAAGTGTATAAACCATTAGCTTTTACTTAAAAGGACATTTAAATAGTTTTATGTACGTCTCAGGGAAAGGAATCTATTCATCTAAATATATTCGGGTTGGTTGTAGACACCTTCATTGTACCCACAACGTTTCTGTCGTGGCAGTTATTTATCAGTTAGTCCACTGTGACAAACATACAAATAACCTTAGACTAAACCTTTCCCTTGCCCAACAGCAATTAGATATCCCTTGTTCATGTACCTAGCATCCTTTTATCCAAGTTAACCAGTTCTGAATTTGTTGATAGACTCCACAGGGAGACCAAGCACCTGGTGAGATGAAATTTCTTATGAATTAAACCTATTTTCCGTCGTCATTTTGAATTTCAACCCTGATTTTAGTTCGGAATTGACTGTTGATGGAAACATGTTCATATGGATCACTTTCCTAAAACAGTCACATTTGCTTATAATGCAACTGTACAGTCATTTAAATTTTTAAGAAATGGTACATATGCGTATTGGGTGGCGAACTGTATACTCACCATGTTGATTTTAGATAACTAACTAGTTATATAAATTATTTGCATTTGTCAGCAATGTGATTGACAAGATTCAGGAAAACCATTGCAAATATGCGGACCTCGCATACGAAATTACCCGCTTGAATCCCAATTTCTTCCGTTAGGCATGCTAGGACAAAGTTGCTGGGTATGCCAGCACCACACCCGTGCTTGTGAGTTTCACAAGGGGTAATTGGACTTCTAACAATTGAGTCCATACAGCTGATATATCTCACAAACTGTTTAAAATAACTGAAATATTTGGTACTTTGTGAATCGGCAGGTGTTTCACAGACACTGGAACTGTACAGGAATGGCGTGAAAGTCCGAGACCTTTCAAGTGACCCCAAATATAACTATGACAACCCAATAATCCACAGGTAAGTCATCACATCAAGGTAATTTATGTCATCTAAATATTTTTATTTAGTGTTTATTCTCCTGGATATATTCAAATCAATACACAAATATGCCTACTATGAAACCCTCTGTCTCCAGGACGCCCGCGAGGGTTGAAGGAGTAGTCTAATGGTTAAAGCGTCCGCTCGTAACGTCGATTTCCTACATGGGCACAATGTGTGAAGCTCATTTCTGGTGTCCCCGTCGTGATATTGTTGGAACATTGCTAAAAGCGGCGTAAAACCAAACTCACGCTTAGGAAGTCTGGGAACCTCACTGGCGTCTTGGCATGGAATGAGCGTAAAGTGAGATGTCGACCTTAAGCGGTCACTAACGTTCGGTTGGAAGTTAGTAAAAATAGAATAAATGAAACTCTGAATAGTTCATGTTTTCTGTATGTCTGCAGGTTCAAAGATCCCATTGAGATCAGACCTGGGGACGAGCTGCGGACGCGGTGTGAGTTCGCGTCCTCCAAGAAGTTGACGACAACAATGTTTGGCGAAGCGACGTCCGACGAGATGTGCTACAGCTTCATCAAGTACTACCCTCAACAAAACTCCAGGGGATTATTCTTCACCAGCTTCAAGAGTATTCCTTACTGTATGCTTGCCATGCAGGACACGTATGAAGGTTGTCCGTGGAAGACAGCATTAACTGACCCACAAATACTACAGTTGTATTTCCTTGTCGACAACAGATGTAACCTGTTCGAGAAGTGTTCGCCGGCATGTTACAACGCCATTCAGACTGCAAAGCAGCACAAGTGTTTGCAGGGTGACATATGGAGGTATCTGATTAAATCTGCTTACCGGTACATGGATAAGAGAATGGTCACGTTTCTGATGAAGTTGCGGTCGTGTGAGTGTGAAGACGTTGCACCCTCCTCAGCACCCCCTACAGCCCCCGACACGGTCGCCAAGCCTGACAACAGCACCTGTGACTGGGCCGGCTTAGACCCCACTGTAGGAAACCCACTCGGCACCCTCTTCTTCAACATCACTGACATCTGCGTTGTTACTGGCGACTGTCTCAAGGAGTGCGTGCAGGCGGTCAAGGCTGCGAGGGAGCACCCGTGCTTCCAGGGAGCGGAGTGGGAATATGGACGGCGCTATCTCTATGAAAGGTTCGACGTCGCTTTCTGGAAGTTTCTATTAGGCTTTGAATCCTGCAACTGCGAAATACCTGCTCCACCTCTTACCACGGGTGCATATTCGTTTCAGTATAGTGATCGCCACCTCGTTCTGATAACGGTCATTTCCGTCTTCAGTGTTCTTGCTTCGTAAAAAGATAAACCACTTGGATAAATTGGATAACACGACCTCGTCAGAATGCAAATATGTCATCTAGCAACAACTCTTTTATAATGTGCACATTAGTTTGAAAAGCTATTTCCTTGAAGTAACGTCAAGTTAATTTGAACAGACATAGCTTCACACAATTTGGAATTGTATGTATAAATGATGCAGTTGAGGTGGTCATGTCATCCTTACACTTCCAGTGTGTTAAGAATAACTCTACATATGCATACCCACTTGATATCATGTTTGTAATGTTTGGTCAATTCGACCAGTTCAAGGGGACGGTGGGGTAGCCTAGTGGTTAAAGCGTTTGCTCGTCACGCCGAAGACCCGGTTCGATTCCCCACCTGAGAACATTGTGTGAAGTCCATTTCTGGTGTTCCCCGCCTAGATATTGCTGGCATATTGCTAACAGCGACGTAAAAATAAACTCACTCACTTCTTCACTCACTCTCTTCTCCGGAGGTGGTTCATCTGTGCCGACGGATGCTGTTGACGAGCTCGTTTTTGCTGTCTTTTCCTTTGAACGATGTCATCTACTATCGTTTCTTTGGACGTTCTCTGAAAGAAAATGTAGTGATGTTGTAAAATATTCTCAGATTGTAAATTGTGTGGAGTTATATTGTTTGAACATATTTTATTCAATGTTGAAAGGAATTGGGCACAAGTTATGTAACTTATAACCGACCGCTCCGATCAGAACCATGAACAATAATGAATGGACATAATAATATTAAGACAAATTATTCATAAATCGAAGCGCTTACTTCGTACAATGTATTTATGCACATGTCTATAGATATTTTCATTAATAGTACTAGTATTTGGCAGAGCAGGGTTGCCGTAAAGAATGGTATCAATGTCTAAGTGAACTTTTGATAGTTCACAGTCTTGCTTCAGATCAAATTCAGCTGTCAAATTTTGGACAGTTAAAATAGAAATGGTTAGCATCTTCCACCGGAGCACCACAATTGCAAGCTTCACTCTCTGATAAATTAACACGAAAAAGATCTGCATGTAATAAACTACACGAATGTCTTAACTTCGTGTGTAGTATAACTTGGTAAGATAACTTAAACGATGATAATGAATTTGTACATTTTGTTGTAGAGGAGAGACTTTTGGAGAATTGAGGAGAATTGCGAAGTTTAGGAATAGCCAAATCTAAATTGTTACGCAAGTTGTATCCGGAAATGGTTTCAGTAAATGGTGGAAGTAAATCTATCAGGTAATCAGGAGCTTGTATATTAACAATTTTGTAGAGTGAGTGAGTTTAGTTTTACGCCGCACTCAGCAATATTCCAGCTATATGGCGGCGGTCTGTAAATAATCGAGTCTTGACCAGACAATCCAGTGATCAACAGCATGAGCATCGATCTACGCAATTGGGAACCGATGACATGTGTCAACCAAGTCAGCGAGCCTATTTTGTAGATCATCCGTCTATCCCAACCAGTTAGTCTATATATTGCCAATCCGGTTACAGTTCTTGCTGCTTAACACTTACGACAAGCATAGTCGCCTTTTGTGGCAAGCATGGGTTGCTGAAGAGCTATTCTATCCCGGATCTTCACGGGTTTTTTACAGCAGATACACGATTATGTATTATCTAAAAAGATGACACCAAGGAGTTATATCATATCACTTATGTCATGTAATCAGAAACAGACATTTTATGTGAGCTTCAAACAATGTTATTAAAACACGATGGAGTTATTATTTATTACAGGATATTTATATAGCGCCCATATTCACGCAACTAGTACATGCTCAAGGCGCTGGTATATTTCCCTCCATCATTGGATGTCAATCTCAACTCCCTGGGGATCATACAACTCTTGCAGCCACTAGGCGCAACGAGTTATTGCGGCTTTCTCATCCTTACGAGGTACCCATTCACAGCTGGGTGGACTGGGACACATAGTCACAACAGTACTTTGTCCAAGTTCACTGCACGTTGCTGTACCTGCAACTAGGTGTTTGCATGTATACATGTGGCCACCATCTGTTCATATACCAACGGATTCGTGGGTTCTTTTAAGTGCACATAGTTGTGTACTGTACACTAGGGGTTGTACTGTACACTAGGGGTTGTGACAACAATGAAAGAGTCTGCACACAAAGTTGACTCCAAGGGTTTTACACTACTAGTTTTAAGGTTTCCAACTAATTGTGGCATAAGAAAAGAAGAAATTTGTCTACAAGTATATATTGTCCTACTTTAGAACCGATAACTCTTTCAATATCTCTTAATTAAAAGGGGCGGTGGGGTAGCCTAGGCGGTTAAAGCGTTGGCTTGTCACGCCGAAGACCCGGGCTGTTGTCCCACATCTTCATGGGGCGGTGAGGTAGCTTAATGGTTAAAGCGTTGGTTCGAATCCCCACATGGGTACAATGTGTGAAGCCCATTTCTGGTGTCCCCCGCCGTGATGTTGCTGGATATTGCTAAAAGCGGCGTAAAACCAAACTCAGTCAGTCAATCAGTCTTAATTAAAATCATTAAATATGAATATGTTTACGAAACCTATCGAAATGTAAATATTCTGTCCCAAAAACGTCAATGTTGATTACATACAGCATTTTACTTTCATTCCCGACTTGTCAGATATTAACGAATTATTGTAAAAGACAATACCTTGTAACTACGAACTGCTGATGACGTTGTCCGACCCGTTCGGTAATAAGCTGTTCATCAATACCACAGTCATAAAGGCGTGTCGCAGTTGTCGCCCTTAGAGAGTGGTTTGAGAAAAACCCTGAGAATCCGGCTCCCTTGCAAAGACGACTGACCGTCTGTGTCAGTGGGTGTACACCAATGGCGACGTCAGGAAACCAGCTAACTGGTAGCGGAGAGGTCTTAATAGACTTGCACAAGTATCAAATTAATAGTTTAAATGATCATTTCTAAAAGAATAATAAATAACGGACTGGGGTCCTTAATGTCCACTTATCTAGACCTGCCCCTTTGGAGGATAGAATTACCATACATTCATGGGCTCAGCATTCAGTACAACTTTGGAGCAAGGCTAAGGTCTCAAGTACAGACTGTTACACGAACCCTTGTGTGGCCTTGAATAACAAAATGTGCATAATAAATAAAAGAATTCAATAAATACAGTATTCTAAGTAATTTCAGGAGAATATTATATTAATCAGTTTCTATATGTAACTATACAAATCTAATGCACCATCATTTTAGATTACATGTATCCTTAATGGTCTTTAAAATAATAGTATTATTTTGTTACACATGTGAAATATAACATTATCATTTACTGAACCAAAACTCCTCTGCAGCTAATACTTCCCTGCAAACCTTATGCAGATGAATTGCACGAGGATCATGCATCAAATTGCTGAAAAGCATGTGAAAATATCGTACATGTGAACAGCTGCGTTTGGTGTAAAGTGTTGTTAAGAATTCGCCAATTCTAAAAAAATGTCCATCTATTAAACTAATGACAATAATCTTTTCAACGTTACGAATTTGTTTTACAATACATCAGTTCAAGTGTAAACAGTACCTTTAAACAGTGTGGATTATTTTTGTAAAATTTAGTTTAGAACAGTTGCTTGAAGTAAGTGGCTATATTTACACTAGTGAGTCTAAACTTTTGATGGCTTAGCTTAGGGACTTGTGCAAATTTAACACTTCTCGTACAGTCGCACTAGACATCGTTTTCCCCGACAGTGACGGTTTTTCGGTCGCATTTCCTATGCTTTGGCATACCAAACACACACACACACACACACACACACACACACACACACACACACACACCCTCTGTTCGTCTTCGGTGTAGCGTAATTCCTTGCTACCGTCAAAGTTACGGATCAGTTGGATCTGCGCATTATCCCCGACTCTGAATAGTCTGTGCTCATCCCCCACACGAAGGGTAAAACTTAGACCGATCAAATAGACCATGGCCTAGATTTTCGAAACGTTCTTAGCCCTTACGAACTTCTTAAGCCCATTCTAAACACATTGGCTACGATCAAGGTTAAGAACTCTTAGGGCTACGATCGTTTCGAAAATAGGGGCCCAGGGTATCGATCAATTCCTGGGTGTATCCTCGCCGAGCATTCCTTTCTTCCTTCTTTCCTTGTTCTTCACAAATACACCTCGGCCCGTTTTTTATGCCGATACCTTTAGCAACAAGCGACTTCATTTTGTCCTCCAGGGCATCTTTTCATCCAGAATATAACACGTCACAATGTAATTCTGGAAACCCTGAAGTCTAATGAGTGAGTGAGTTTAGATTTCCGCCGAACTGAGCAATATTCCAGTCATATGGCGGCGGTCTGTAAATAATTGAGTCTGGACCAGCCAGGTAATCAACAAACGTGTGCAATGAAATTTCAATATCACACGTACAACTCGCACACCTGGCTGTTCTACCAGCAAGTAGTCCCCCTCGTAAGAAATAGCGAAAGGTGACAACAAAATAATGTTTGTTGGTTAACCAACTTTTTTATTCGGGTGTCCATAATTGAGACAATTCATCAGAGTTGGTCTGTCGATTTCATGTGACTGTACCAAGTTTGATTTTGTTGCATTTAGTGTTGCATTTATTCATTGGTCTCAAATGAAATCAAACGGACTATAGGTGTTTGCACGTATGGTCATTTACCAACAGATTCTTGGGTTGTTTGAAGTGCACAGGGTTGTGAACTGTACACTAGGGGGTGTGACAACACTGAAAGAGTTTGCGAGATCAAACAATATCTACAAGCAGATACTGCTTGGGAATGAGGCAGTTCGTATTCCCCATTTATAAAATAAACGAAAAGTCAAAATAATTATGTCTGAACATTTAATACACCAAAACCGAAACAAAACAGTAAACCCAATGAAAAATCCCCGCACTGTACATTCACTGAAAGTGTGAATGTTAACTAAGCTTCTATGCTTCTGTGTAAATGTCTTCCCGATAATGGAAGCAATCTAATAAGTCATTTGTAACTCCTGGCTGGAGCTCGATATATGGACGACCCTGTCCCTCAGCAATATGTCTGACTAACTGCCGATGTTAAACTGATTAACGCTGTCGTCAGCTATGACCACGAAATGCACGAGATTTTAAAACCCACGTGCATATACGCATAGCGACGGGTGTATTCGGGCGCGCTGACCCAAGCTAAAAACGAAAACATCTATTTCCTTCTGTCCACTGCTTTTTGGTTACCCATTGATTGAAATAAGCGATAGTTTGAGGTAAAACCTCAAACAAATATTTCTATTCTCACACCTTTGTTTAAAGCACATCGATTCCATCAGTGCCAATACGTGACCATTAAAATTCTCAAATAATGTGGATAGAGGGAATGAGGCCAAATACAAGGGCAAAACATTCCATGGTTGTGATGTGATGACGGGGTAATATGTTCACATCACAGAAGAAAGAAATATATCTTAATTTCGTCAGTCTCCATGCGGCTGGAATGAACAAAAGTGCACCAATCTACAGAAGACGGGACGTGCAGAGGTCGTTGAGGGGCATATTGGTACTTTTATCCCACATTTCAAAATATGTCTCCTTAAAGTCCAACGTCTTCTTTGTTTGATATAAGTCGAGTTGTTCGTCAGTCACAGCAATAAATAAC